CAATGAAGTACATATACCGAAGGCACTCATGTCCCTATAGTAGCTCATTAATTATAATTATTAATTATAATGTATTCAGTCTATGCACATACATGTGTTTTAAATGCCCCAAAGGGGTACTCCCCTATATTCGCTATACGGGGACGTGCCGCCAACCAGGGTATCGTTTAGTGATTTTACTCTGGAACTGGGTATTGTTTTTAGCGACTTTACTCTAGAACAGGGTATTGATTTCAACGAATTTTCTCTGGAACAGGGTCAGGGTTGAATTCCAGAATTATTGATGCTGGGTAAAAATTCATGGGGTAAAAATTCGGTCTACACGCAGGCTAGTCCTGGATTTTCTCTGGAACAGGATATCGTTTTCAGCGATTTTACTCTGGAACAGGGTATAGTTTTCAGCGRTTTCACTCTGGAACAGGATCAGGGTTTTGATGTCCCAGCGGTACACCCCACCCAACACACACACACACGCACACACTTCGGGGCAAAAATTTAGTTTATCTCTTTCTCAAAAATTTAGTTTATCTCTTTTTTAGAGAAATAATAAAAATAAATGATATATTATGTAGATACAGACAACTCTCGGACACCCTGTTGTTATGGACAACTCAATATTACGGACAGGATTGAAATCCTGAATCTCCGGCAAAATGAATACAATAACAAAGAAATGACTTGAAGTTACTCCCGTTATTGCACTCTTGCTACAATTCTGGTCCACTAAATCAAGAGGGTGTCTGTGATAGGGAAAGTTGACTATATTAACAGACCGAAATCTGTATTTGTATATCGACAGTGGTCATGTGTATGCACATCTATTTATGGGAGTGTTACGGCAGATCATTCTCGACTAAATTGCAATATAATTCCACTAACATTAAATTAATGCTCATGGAATTAGTGAAAAGATGCTGAGACATCAATCCTGAAAATATTGTTATAATGGCAATTCAACGAAAACACTATAAAAGTGTTAAATAGACTATCCAAAGTAACTGCTAAATAGTAGCTAAATAGTGTTGCTTAGACAACAGAAAACAAGGGAATCAGTATAAATCTAGCTTGGGGTGTAGCTGAACCACAACTTTGGCAGCATGCAGGCTACATAAATCTTAATTACACAGCTTTTTTCATGGTTTCAGTGCTTATATAGAGGGTATTACATGGGCGCGCGGAGATACGGATTTTATCTTCGAGTGTTGAAGAGATTTTCAACACGGGAAGATAAAATGTGTAGTTCCAGAAAATATCCATACCCCCACCACGGAGGATATTTCATTTATGACCCCCCGGCCCCCCTGGAATTTCCGATTTTTGACCGATTTTTTACAACTCTTCCCCAACCCCCCACCCCTCCGGAATTTCCGATAAAAAGGCAGGTATTACCCCCACCCCCCTCGGAATTTCCGTCAATACAAGATACGCAT